TAGAGGTCTAGCCAAGGGTGGTTGCTGCCTAGAACCAATTGGAAATGGCCTTCTGCCATAATTGTCGGTTGGTCTACGGTCTTTCTACACATCTTTGTAGTATTGCTTTCCATCAGTTGGGAGCCCCCTCAGCTATTTATAAATCAACCTACATCAGGGACACATTCTTTGCATTACAGTTGCTTCGAGGGAGTCATCATCCAATGTTTCTTCACTAGAGCCATCCTTTTAGCCTACAAAGCTTTGTCCGGTGAACCTTTTGTGTTCTTCCTGAAGGTAGCCTGGCTAGCAACATGCATTTGCATACCGACTTCTTCCAATTCCTTTAAAGAGAGATCCTAGAAATCCGGTATGCCAACATTAGCTGATTCTTCTCCAATTTCTGGAAATAGGTTGGTGTCCATTCCTATAGCCTTTTCAGTCTTGGTTGGAAATTTCAGCCTCCCTTCTGAATTTGTTCTTGGATCATGTCTCGAAAAATAATGTAGTTTTTAGTTGAGTGGAACTAAGAGTTATGCCATTTGCAGTACAATTTTCCTTTAAGTTCTTCAAGATTTGGGATCTTAACTCCCTCAGGCAACTTTAAGAAATGTGCTGCTAGCAAATGATCAAATATGTCATCTGCTTTTGTTATGTCAAAAAATATTTCCTATGAAGGTCTTTCTTTTTAAACTATTGGTCAATTGTGGTATCTTTCTGAATCAATGCCTCACAATCATAGGTTTTTTTCCTATGATTTCTGTTGCATCAATTTCAAAATTAGGGTCCCTATAATAGGTTCTATATGATGTATTGCCTTAGTGTTATTCTTTTTCAAGTAAGGTTTCATATCTGGAAACTTTATAAGTAAGTTTCACTAGATCTTGAAACTCTATTGATTCAAATTTCTTTCGAAGCCTAAATTCTAGCCTATTTTGGGCCAATCTAACAAATTCAGGTTTGCGTAAAACGACCCTGCATTTGTTACGTGCTATTTTGAACCTTGCAATGAATTGAGCAGCCTTCTCATCAGGCCTTTGGCTCAATCTTGCCAAGTCTGCCATAGAAACCTCAAGTTCTATTTAGAAAAACTAGGCATGAAATACTTCCTCCATTTGTTGCCAATTTTGAATAGAACCAGGTGTAAGGTCAGTGTATTAGACAAAAGATACCCCAGTTAGAGAGTTTGGAAAAAGTTGTAGTTTCATATAGTCATTATTAGCAAACTCACAACATTAGCCTGTAAATCTGGCAATGTGTTCCATGGTTGACTGGTTTCCATTCCCATAAAAGAGGGCAAAATCTGGTATTTTATATCCCCTTGGGTACTCGTGCAACCTATCTACCCAGTCTGGGTAAGGCTTTCTGTAGATAGGAGTCTGGACCCCCCGAGCCATGAGTCCACAAATGTCTCTTACTATTTCAGCAATATGGTCTCTAGGCACTATATTCGGTGCTAATTGAGCCACTCTTGGTGGAGCAAACACTGGGTTTGGAGGAACCACTTGTGCTTGGAGTCCCATTGGTTCAGGTAAAGGCATATTTGGGAATGGTTGTCCCTGTTGTGCCTGGTAAGCTTGAGGATATGGCTGTCCCCTTTGGGCAGGTGCCTGGCCTATGCAACGCATTGCAAAAGGAACAGCTGGAGGGGAAACATGCATAGTTTCTCTTCCAATTGCAAGAATCCCATCCAACTTCCTAGGTATAGCTTCGAACATGGGATTAGTAGATGTTCTGCCATTTCCTTGTGTTGTTCCTACTTCACCAACATTTATGGTTTTGCTGGTAGGTGTAGCCATGTTTTGGCCTGTTGGCATTCTAGGAAGGGGCTCGTACCATGATTGAGGCACTGTTACTTGTCTTTTAGGTGTTTGATTACTGGTTTGACCATTATTTTGCCTATTAGTTTGTACAGGCTACTTATTTCGAGCCAATTGCTACTAAAGTAGATTTATATTTCCTTTAGCTTGTCTAATGATGTGTGGTTGATATGCATGCATTTGATCCAAAAAGGACACTGCCCACCTTCCATTGTATACATTAACTGTTGTCCCATAATATCCACTGAACCTCCCAATTGATTAACTGGTGATGTGGATGAGACAGTCGAGAGACCAGCCTTTTGGCCTTACCCAATATTCTGGACTTGGGTAGTATATCCTGAAGTAATGGTTTCTTCAACCAATCATGGAGGATTGTTTATAGAAGGCATATTTTCAGGATGTGGCTCAGCATTCTCCTCGATGTTAGCTCCTTCTACACCTTTTTCGAGGTGGTCATTTTCTCCTCTTGCTCTACGTCTAGCCATTTTTAACTAGTCCCACTAGGCGTGCCAAAAAATATATTTTGATTTTTTTGGTTTTCGAAGGTCAATAATGTAATTTTAAGTGTGCCGGCAATGATCAATAAGTCCTTACAGAGATTTTAAATACCAACCAATTATGAAACGATTATGTTGAAGTTTTTTCAGCTTCAATGAAGATGACTTTTACTGGTGGCTTTTGCTTAGGAGAAAATTAAAGATAATGATAATTACGATGGACCAAAACAGTTTCACTAATTGAATTTCATTAATTAATAAAAACTTACAATGATACCTTCGCACTTTCACAGCCTCGAAGGGTTTTACAGCAACAAACTACTTAGAACTACTCCTAAGCATTGAAGTGCAGTACAGGAATTGAAGAACTGGAATGTAAAAGACTGGAAAGAAAAACGTAAAGTAAATAACTGGTTTTTGGATCTGAGTCTGGGGGCTTCTTCTGTTGACCTTCTATTCTATTTATACTCTCTAATGGTAATCATCGAAGTGGTTTTTTAATCGTCGAAATACTTTTCCACGATCATTGGTCATGGCCTTGACTAGTTTGCTCCCACTACGCCATTCTTGCAGTTGGACTTTTCTCTTGAATTTGAATTTGAATTGTGAGAAACCATTAGGTCACGTCATCTTGCGCCTTCTAACTGCTCTAATGCTGCGCAGATCCATTTTTACCAATATAAACTGCCACGCGTTAAGCTACGAATTGGCTTATGCGAATTGGCTTATATAAAATATATAGCCAACACAAACGCAACCTTATATTTATCTTAAAAACACTTTTTTAATCTCTTCAAAAGTGAAGAGATTGAAGCCTATTTTGGGAAGTGGATTAAAAGTTACTTCCCAATTTTGAACCCACTTCCTCTCTCACCAAAAAAAAAAAAAAAAAAAAATTCAAAAAGCTAAAAGAAATAGTTTTTAACCATCTTCTCAAAACACCCGAGAGAGATAAAAAAAATGAAGTAATTGCTAACTTTTTATAATATAAAAATTATTCATCTAATGCCTCGTTTGGCATACAACACTTTTAGCTTAAAAACCAAAGTTACTAAAAATCAAAAAGGCTATAATCTATACCAATAAGTTAAAGATTTTTTTTTTCTTCTACTTTTTGCATATCTTTTCATAAAAAATTATTTAGTCATTGCAAGCATATTAGGTTTTTTTTTTTTTTTTAAGCAAACAAGTGAAAAGAAAACAAAATAATTTCTATTCATTATTAACTTAACAAATTATTTCTTCCATGTTCTCTTTTGAATTTCCAACAGACTGCAAGAGTCTGTAATTGAAAAATGAAAAACGAAAAATGATTTCTTTAGTTTTCATTATTTTATTTTTTTTGATCTTTATTTCTTTATTTCTTTTGAATGTGCACTAAATGATTTTTTTTATAATTGAAAAATGTAAGTCAAACAGGGCTAGTGAATTAGGGAGAGAGTGGTATTTTTTTTTTAATTTTTTGTGTCAATTGACGACTTAACATATTGGATGATAATTCAAATTTCGGTAATGCTACGTAGCTGGAAAGAACTTTCCCGAATTCCCTCTGAAACGAAAACGATGCCGTTTTCGGCGTTTTCATTTTTTTTTTTTCAAAAGAAGAAGAAGAAAATCAGAAGGAAGAAGAAGAAGAGAAGGAAGAAGGAGGAGGAGGAGGAGGGACTGGAGGGGGCCAACAAATTGGGCTGGAGGCGGAGGAGGGGCGGGGGTTGCGAGGTAGAGGCTACGACGACGATCGGCGGAGGCGGGGCTGTGACGATGGACAGAGGCGACGGCGGAGGGCTGCGATGGCGGGCGGAGGGGGCTGCGACGACGACCTGCCTCCTCTCTCTCTTTCTCTCTCTTCCTCTCCTCTCCCTTTCCCTCTCCTTCTCCTCTCCCTCTGTTTCAGACCTGCAAGACGAAGAAGAAGAAGAAAAAAAAAAGAAAAGAAAAAGAATGCCCAAAACGACGACGTTTTGGGCATGCTACAAATCATTATTCTTCAAATTTTAAATGTTTTTTTTGAACGAGACTCTAATTTTGATGTTGAAATTGTATTTTAGTGTGTTAAAGTGTACAAGCAAGATAATGGAAAATCTGCTTTTGTGTGTTAATAATCTTTTAATTCAGTGAGTAAATGGGTGTTCTAATAAAAATATAAAACTTATTAAATAAGTATAGATGGGTGTTTTGAAAAGTTAGTAAAAAATTAACTTTTGATTTTTTACCAAGGTTTTTAACTTTTTTGAAAATTAATTTGGGAAGTTGGTAAAAAGCTGGCTTTGGACTTTTTGGTTTAATATTTGTTTATGGAGTTAAATCAAATTAAAATGACCAAAATACCCTTATTCAACATAAGAAATTTACTCTTTTGTTATAGGCTTTCGTTTTTATGACTTTTCAAATGAATTTTGTTGTGTTTTTAGCTATCAACTTTTTTTCCCTCAGATAAACAACGTGATATTTTACAAAACTTTTCAAAATGGCACAGAACTCACTTGAATGCGTAAAACATAGAGAATAATATATAAAATCGGAAAAATATGGTGCCCCTAGAATTTGGGATCAAATGTTATAAAATAGTGCCAACTTTTTAAAAAAACAACTATGGAGGACTCAATAGATGTGCTTTAATTATAAGGTTATAAATATCCGATCAAATTAAATTTATTTATTTATTTATTTTTTTTTTCATATGAATAATCTCCTCGACACTATTCAGTTTATGAAAAACAGTCGGTACGACCTCTCACGAAAGGCACAACAGTATCCTCGAGTTCCCTTCGGCCCTCCCTCGCCACCTCTACGATTTCCCCATCTGCCTCCAGCACTCCTCCACTCCACTCCACTCCACTCCACTCCACCTATCTCGATCATCTCTACTTACCTCCGTCACTCCCCTACCAATATCCGCAATTTCCCTACCTACCTTTGCTACACTCAAATCATTCCTACTCAACCCAACACACTAGTTGACCTAAAACCTAACCACTAGAACTACCCAAAATTTACAAAGTGCACAATTTGGAATGGGTTTTGATAGAGGACTTCATCACCAATTGCCTGATATCTCTTCATCCCTGACTCTAGTGCCTAAATTCATGCTTTATTTCGATCTCCATTGATGAGCTTCTTTGACACTTGCTCAATTAGGGTTTGCTTCTTTCTCAATTTTCTTATGGAACATTGTCCAATCTAGTGTTTAAAGGTTTAATGAGATATAGTCATTTATCTCATATTTAAGCCACTAAATTAGTATTTTCTCAAATTTTAATTTTTTTTTTTTACCCATTTTCTTGTATTCTTGATTGTAGGAAATAATTAGTAGTAATTATTCATTTATAATTTTTAAGCTTTTCAAGTTTTGATTGCAAACAACCTTTATTGATAAATAATATTTTGTTATTTGGTCTCTATAAATAGCTTTTATGGTTGGGTTGTTTGCAGGTACATTGCTAAAACATTGTATGGTGATGATGATGAAGAGGTTACTCCTCAGAATAGCGGCACAGTGGAGGAGCCAAAATTTTTAGGCCTTTACCCTGGATCAAATGAGAAGGTTTTCCTTGCTTTGATTTAACATCAATTATGGGAAAAATGAATCTTTATCATCTTCAGAAGCTTATTACTGCTTTCAATGTATGTATTGGAATTGTTTTTATTTTTTAGATTCTCTTGAAGAATGGTCCTTATGGGTTCTATGTTCAGCTTGGTAAGGACAGGAAGGGATACTACTAGCCTAAAAGAGCCTCGGTTTCCCAAGTATGTACAGCCTCATTTGTATTTGTAATGGGACTACTAAATTTTTGGAGCTTTAATTCTTGGCCTACTGCCATTATCTGCATATATGTAAATGCTTAAGTTAAGCATCTATGCTTCGTTTTGTTTTCGAGTAAATTAGGGATGAATACTTAGCCACTACTGGTCATTAAGGAAGTCTTGTGATGTTAATTTTCTTCCTTTTTTTTCCCCTTTCAAAACAATTAACATCAAGGGATAATCTGTGGATCAGATACAAAGGGTTGGGTCATGCCTGTTTGGTTTAATTTGGTTTATTCGAATCAGGCCTTCAAATTTCAAAAAATCCATACATATACAGACTGAAATCAATAAATCTAAACCTAAGACTGAACATAAACATATCTAGAGATTCTAGACTGCTCTTGCATGCTTTTCTCTCTTTATGCAAGCATTCATGTGCAGACACTTGTTCTCTTGGAAGAAGAATACACCTTGTGGAATATGTCTTTTATTTTGCATATTTGTGTTGTGAACTGCACGATAGAAAAAAAGATGGATTATAAAAGATTAAGGGGCATGTATAAAATTTCAAAGGGGCCAATTTGAAGAACTTTGTAAGTACAAGTTAACTTGTAATTTTAAAAGAGTTGAGGGGAGGCACTGCCCCCTCTGGGTCAATGATGGCTCCGCCACTGGCCACATGAATATCTTGCTTCTTCTATTGATACCCATTTCTAGAGTGTTTTTCTTTTCTTTTTGTTGTTGGTATTGTAGATGTAGATGCAGATGCAGTAGTTGTCGTTGTTCTTATTATTATCTGAATCCAATAGTGTGTCATATTTATTGTCGTTAATGAATAATTTTTGTTTGTTGCTATATAGCCTCTGCTCCTTGTGTTTCATCAGTATTGAATAATTAAAAGTGGGATACAAAAAGTGCAGTTTATCAGCTCCCTATAGAATTGACAGTGGTCACATCATCCTCCCAGAATATCGCTACTATATTTGTAGTTAATTTCATAAATTCCATTAATCTTTAAAGCAATATTTTCCCTTATTCTTGACCTTGTAGGTTGTTTTTCTCACTACTTCCATTCATGTCCTTTTAGACTTCTTGATTTTTTTTGGAAGGTTCACCTGTTCCAGCATAATCCTCACTGACTGAATGAAGACTCATTTGTTATTCCTGAAAATCTTCTCTGCTTCAGGCAGCTGCCCCTCTATTCTTGCCAATGTTTGTCACATTATTCTAGAGCAAACTGTGCTTCAACCGAAACGCCATTCCAGTGTCTGTGGTTATCTCTCAATCATGTTGTCATATAGCTGGAAGGTTTTGGAATTGGTTGTTTTGGATCATTTGGTCATCAATCTTCCTTTTACACTTCATCCTTTCTTCTTTTCCTTGTCTTGGTCCTACTTCTGAAACATTTTGGTATTAGAATATTTAGTTTCGCGACAATCTGATTTTGTCAAAGTTAAAAATCGCATTTCATCCAGTTTTTATTTGTATCACAATTCGATTTTAGTATTAGAATATCTAGCTTCCTCTAATTTTTAACAAGTTTTATCATGTGCCTTGGACAAAAAAGATGCTATCCGCAAGTATGAAAAGTCCTGCATGATATTTTTTATAGGTAAAAGAATATAACTAATGTACGACATATTTAAAATCATATAATATAACTATTGAATGTTAAAAAAATTTACTAGTTCGTTTAATGCCCCCTTTTAAAAACCTTTACTAAAGCACGCGAAGCTTCCGCTAAGGTTTTTAAGCACCAAAGTTGATATGTACTAATATATTTTTCATCAGTATGTTTCTATTTTTATTATTATGGAGAAAATTATTCTTTCCTACAAGGGGAGTACCTGGAGGATAATTGCATTTGGCTATGATGCAATAACTTGGTGCTCAAAAATGCTGGCTGTTGTGGATTAATAGTAAAAATATGGATTTATAAATAAAAAATAAATTAAAAAAAAGAAAAAGAATCTTAAAAATATGGATTATGTGGATGCTCTGTGAGGTCTCTTGGTGCATCTAGGCATCTACAGATGGGAGATCGACTTTGATCCATGCCTTCGTTTTATTTTTTTAGGATATCATACACAAGCTTCAGTTCAGAACTTTTTTATTAACTGTTTCGATATGGCAGTTCATGCATCTGTAAACATTGCCTGCTTCTTTCACCCCCCTGAAAAAAATAAAAAATAAAAAATAAAAAAAATGAATAAAATGACTTGTATTTGTTGTAATATTTAATTCATACATGATTGAGAACATTTATTATTTCAGAAATTTTTTTGACAAGTAACATTTGTTATTTTAGATAAAAAAATGTAGACTCTATTACCCTGGAAGATGCTATTGAGTTGCTGCGCTATCCTGCGACATTGGTATGTCTTCATCTAAATAGAGGGTTTTTTTAAAAAAATTTATTTATCATTGTCAAACTCATTTTTCCTGTATCTATGTTAGGGAAACCATCCTGATGATGGCCAGCCAGTTGTATTGAAGCTTGCAAAGTTTCGATTTTCCATTAGACAGACGCACAATCGCGCCTGTACCCAAGGTATATCTTTCTTTGTTAAGCATGCCTTTATTAAATAGTTATGGTATTTTCTAACTCTTTTTCTTCACTAAATTTAGCTTGAATCTCCTATTGTAGTACTCATTTTAGTATAAGAAGTACCCACAGCAAGTTTAACTAATACGCTATTGGCCACCATATTAGCCTCCTATAGCAAAACCTCACAAATGGGTTCTTAAAACTAGACGGCTGGTGTATATAGGTCAATTCTCAGCCATACACAGTTCAGAGTATTTTTATCAGTTTGTGAAGTAGGTATAGGAGTTGGATGGGCAAGAAGCCGAAATCTGCCCTTAAATGTGGCACTTGGGGGTAGGGGTATTATTTTAGATGAATATGAACACCTAATACTTATAAAAAATTGAATATGAACTCCTAATACTTATTAAAAAATTAAATATGAAACACCTAATGGAGAACTATGTTAATACATATATAGGAAGTGTTATTTATGGAGTGAAATATCTGCAGTCACTGTCATTTGATTGAGGTCCCAAAATAAGGAGAAGACACTGACAAAGACATTGAATACTGAACAAGTTGTGCAGACAGCGATGAAAAGAATTACTATAGCATTATATGAAAGTTTGTAAAGCATAACTTAAGTAATAATTTGGCAAAACAAAAGAATGAATTTCCAGCATGAAATGCTTGTCACGTAACAACAGGCCTGAGTTGTCTATATGTCCTAAATATTGATTAAATTACACATGATTAACCATGCATATATGCTATACTTTTAACTACCAAGTACCAAACAATTGCACGTGTATTTATTTTTGAGATTGCCTTTTTCCTTTTCCCGTCTTCCCCTTGTGAGGTGGGAAGATTGAATCTCAAGGGTCCTGCCATAAACATATTCTGTTCTTGATTTCGGAGACCAAACTTAAGGCAAAACGGGCAAATATAAAGCCTCTCCAAAACAAGGAGGGAAATGAAAAAAATAAGAATAGAAAGGAAGAAAGAAACATACAACTATTGGGAGTATTTTTGGCTTTTGCAAAAGCAATGTACAACTTTTCCAAAGTATTGGACCCTCGGAAATGCTTTAGTGGCAGAACTACAGCTCTGCTAGAGGGCTGCCCTCTTAAACTAACAAGAAGAGAGAGATTATAACCTACTGGGATAATCCAGTTGGCTGGAACACCAACATCTCATTAGGAGGTCAAGATTTCAAGTCTTGTCACAGGCAAGACTCCCCTTAGGCTACAGCCTCCAATGTACCCAATAAAAAGAAAAATATAGACTATTAATTTAAATAATAAATATATGGCTAAACCTTTAGGAGTGCAATCATAAGGGTTGAGTAGATTGGCAGATCTGCATACTGTATTATACATTGAATTTAGTGGGTTTATAATTAGATGAACCTTTAGGAGTGCAGTAATAGGATTGAGTAGGCGGGCTGATACATGGACAAACAGCTGCACACTGTATGATACATTGAATTTGGTGGGCATATAATTAAATAAACCTTTAGGAGTGATGCATTGAATTTGGTGGGCTTATAATTAAAAAAACCTTTAGGAGTGTAGTCATAGAGATTGAGTGTTGTTTGGAATGGATATGTGATATACATTTAGCGATGTCCGAGGAATGCAAATCATTACTGGAAAACAATTATTTTCCCTTGAACTCAACTAGTGAATTCCTCTTGTAAATCTTCCCATCATAAATGTTTAAAAATTTGGATTAAGTGGATGGAAAATTGGACCAAGAATTGGGGAAAAAAAAGAAAAATCTTTTCACAAACTCAAGTGCAGATTTGTGATATTAAGATCTTTAAAATGCATATCAAGCAAATTTGATGTGGATTCGCTGTGTTGCTGAGATTATTATTTCTTGATTAGCTTTTGTATTTGTTTTCCTATGCTGGTTCAATACATACATGTTTTTCTTGCTTCTGAAGGATTGCTGTTTGGACCTGAAGTCTATATTTTTTAATTGAATTTGTTTCACATCAAAAAAGAAGTGAAAAAAAAATAATGCACGCATAACATTCACCCTAATTACTGCCCATCCATGATGCAAAGATTTAGTGCGACTTGGAAAGTTTGCATGAGATTGTGAGTCGAAGTTTTCAGATCCCAACTCCATTGTCTACTAGTAGAAGGGGAAACTGAAACGAAACACACTTTAACTTGAAAGGTCCAAAGAGGCAAGTAGAGCTCGGAAGAAGTCTAATGAATAGTCTAATGAACAGTGTACATCTCAGTTACTTGTTGAGATGGGGTGGAGCAGAGGAAAATTCTTTTTAAAAAATATTCACTTTGGTCCCTGTTCAGATTATTTCATTCAGAGCGCATATTATTTGTTTTGATTGTCACTTTTTTCCATTCATATATTTGTCATCTTTGAGAATTCTTATTTTGTTAACTTGGTTTTCATCTATTTTAACATTTTGCACAGAACTTGAAGCCGAATGATATAACCTTTGAGAAAGCATTAGAGCTTTTGTTGGGTAAAGATGTAAAACGATGTGGCTGACCCAAGAGCAAACCAAAGCTTGAAGGGGCCGTTGAGGCGATATAGGCATGACATATTCTATGGCCGAGGCCGGGTACAAGAAATTTAAAGTCTGTGCAATTGGTATGCATATATGAAGACATCCCATTTGCGGCATCTCCTCCAGTTCTTCCATTGGTGAGGTTTGAACAGAGCTCATACAGGTTGTATCTATCTCACACAGACATATCTGATGGCAGGAAATGTAGTGTAATGGAAGTTAGTAGTAGCCAATTTTGTTGTAATTCATGAATAGGCTTTTAAGTAATATATATGTGGCCAATTTAAATTTAATGTAGTGTTACTTGGATTCCCTTTGATTTGGCAAAAAACATTCTTTACAATTTTTTTTTTAAAAAAAATGTTCTTTGTAGATCACATTTTTTTATGTTTAGTTGCAACCTGAAAACTAATGTGCTAGCTAGTGGTTGTATTAGTAGTGGTGGAGGTGGTTTGTCTTGGTGGTGGAGGTGGAGGGGCAAGTGGGTGGGGGTGGGGGTGGCGGTGGTGTAGTGGTGACATTAGTAAGATTTAGTTGGGAAAACATTATTACTTCAAAAAAAAAACATGTTTTTTTCCAAATGAGTTTGTTTTGAATCTGTTAAATTTTTCAGAATGCCAAAAAATAAAAAATATTTTTCAGAATATGTTTTCGGTCAAACGAATGGAATGTTAGGATAGGATAGGGACAATTTTTGAACAAACTGTACTCTTATATCTACCTATTATATTATTTGGATCAGATATTGTAAATAGTTCACTAATTCATTGCAACTACTTTGACCCAGAGCAGAAAAACTTAAAAAGTCATTACTATTGTGCAAATTGTAGTTAGTACAACAGTGGCTTGTGCAGTTTTGCAATGATGCAACAACTGTAGGGATGTTGCAATTACATAGAGTCAAGCAAGAGTCCGAATCCGAAAGGCCTTTGGTTGTTGCAGTCAAGGTTGTCGCCAATGCTAACCCCGGATATTTTATCACTACAATACCTTTGATAGAACCCAATGTAACTCTCAACCCTTGAATCCGTGCCATGACTGCATTCGAGATTGCCATATATGATGTTTGTGATGACGCCGTACTTGGGAACCTGACTTGCTGATTGGTCAGCTGCTGCTGACGGCGTCCAAGTTTCGGTGATGACCGCGTGGCACGAAGGCTTTGGTGATTGTGGGGTCATTCAGAGCCATAAGGCTATCTTGAATGCGATGATCGGGTCAATTTCTACTAAATCAGGGTTGTTCAGGAGGTCCAACCCAAAGGCCTCTCCAGTTTGTCCATAGTTGTAATTGTTAATATCAAAACATAAAGTCAAAATATGCAATGAATTTAATTAGCATAAAATGTTTTGAGTAGTTATTAAAATTGCAAAAGCAAAAAATATTAAGTGGGTCAAAAATTTCAGTTCGATTGTGTGCTGGTTTAATGGCATGTGAACATGTGATAATTTTGTTTATATATTTCTAGAAAATGGTCACATATCCCAATTATTAAGTAGATATATAATCACATGATGTTTTCAAAATATTAGATAACTTTATAAAAAAAGTAGAATCTTAGTTGACTATATTGCTAAGCAAGGGTACGATGACCAGAAACTGAAGGTGATTAGCAATATCAAATTATAATAGAAATGAAGATGATTAACAGCGACAAAAGAGCATTGAGTATAATGCACAAAGATCCCAAATACCAACTGTCATTTATTAAATGGAGAGGATCTTAGTCCATAAAACTCATTACGAAAATTTGATGTGTCATATTATTGACTGAAAATTTTTATAAAATTTGTAAATTTTGTGTAGCTTTACTTTTTTGAAAAAAGAACAGGTGTAGCTTTACTCTTTTGAACTTAGCACGAGATGTGCATGGGGCATGTCGTTGGTAGGACAATTATGATACAAAGTCTATGAACCCATAAACAGAACCAGAAAAAGTGATGTGTGGCCGAGATCTACTGTTTATGTAGTGGGGTTTACACATGAATTAATCTCAACCATTAATTCTGTTTTCTGGAAACTTTTCTGGGCATTGCTTTTTGGGACAGTAGAACTGCTGCAATTATGAGGATTCAATTCAACAATTTCATGATTATAGTGACTGACAATGATAGACATGTATTTTTTTTTATATTTTTTTGAGAAGTGGCATATAGCGTATTATATAATGATAAAAGAAAGAGTACATAAGTTCACAAACAATACTAGGACTAAAATGTTAGCTCTAGTCCACATGGAGCTATTATTGAAGGGTGGCTCTCCAAGTCAAGAAGTAGGAGGGAAGATGGCAGGTGACAGCCAGCCTAATAACTCTCATTCCTTGACTTTGTTTCCCTCTCCCCGTGTATATATATAGAGACTGAGAGGAAGAGAAGAGATAGCCAACACAGAGTGAAAAAGCTATGTGTAAAAGAGTGAATTCTATAGAGGGTTGTGAGGTGTGAGTTGTAATCTCATTCTGGGATAATTTTATGGTGAGAAATATCTCTCCGTGGACGTGGGCTATTGTTGAACCACGTAAATCTCTTGTGTCTCCTTTCTGTGTGTGATTGATTTCTGAGTGCCCCTAATCCTAACAACTGGTATCAGAGCCTTGTTGGTCAATTTTTCGAAAAAACAGGGTGTGCTTTTCAGAATTGCCCAGAAATCAAGTTGCTCGAAATTCACTTTTGAGCATACCAAGAGGAAGCCCTCGATTAGAGGAGTCCAAATGTCACGCCCCCAAACCGCCCCTAGTAGTTTGGTGCCGTGATGGCCAGTAATCCGAGATTACCGAAGGCCGACTTACAAAATTCACACACCATCAGAGTATTAAACCGGTGCGTCATCCCAGTCTCAGACATGCACCTGACGCGTGGCGGAAGGAAGAAGGAGAGTGTTCTGCACGAAATAGTGACGTCACTGACATGTGTCATCACCAGGTCATCGCCACGTCAGCACCACGTCAGTGCTAGGTCTGAGCCACGTGTCTGATATGTCAGTGCCACGTATTCGCCAAGTCAAAGCCACATGTCTACCACATAAGCACGCTAGTTGACCAGTCAACCTGTTGGGTTTACCTGACCAAACTCAACCCAGAGGCAGAGTGTTTATCTGGTGCTACGCAGCTGTGGTACATTCGTAGATCTCAACCGTCAACATATTTTGGCTAGATATGAGCCATTTGAAGTCCGATTTTGACGATCCAACAGTGGTTTCAACTATTTGGAGTATTTCGGAGAGAACTGTACAGTCAAATTTTTGAATCAAAGTTTTTGTAAAAAGTAAGAAGACGATGGAAGAATCTACTTAAACTTCGGGATCGATGATCAAATTAAATGCTTCCAATTATGGAATCTAGAAGTCGTGGATAGAAGACGTCCTATACTGTAGAGACCTGTTTGACCCTATTGCTCTAAAAGGGGTTAAACCGGAAGTAGAGAAGGATGACTGGATAAAGATGAACCGGAAGACTGTCAGTCAAATCAGACAATGGATAGACTATAGTGTGTTCTACCATGTCGCCCAGGAGACAGATGCATATGTCCTCTGGACAATGTTAGAAGGAATGTACCAGTCGAAGACTGCCCGAAACAAAGTGTAACAACCCTCGTTACTGTTTACTGATTACCGTTAAACTGAATTGATTATGACTGATAAGTGAACTGAATAAACTACTGAACTGACCGACTGAAATTGAAACTGAATTGACAGAGTATACCTGTTTAATTGTAATTATATCTGTTTGGTTATTTGATTATCTGTTCGTGCTTTTATGTTTAAATTGCAAAATGAAGGCCTTATCGGCAGCTTAATCCGAAATTGATTGATGATTTGTGATCCTTAGAATTAATGTGATTTTATGGTATATTTATCTGAAAACTGATTCGGTATGATTAAATTAGGTTAATTATTGAGAAGTTACATAGTTTGACTTAACTACAACTTTGCCATCCTTAGTGGCCACTACCTAGGACATTCTTGAGCCTTATTTCACTCAAACAAAAACATTTCTTCTTCCATTTCTTGCACACAACCGACCTTAGAGAGAGAGAGAGAGAAGCTAGAAGAGTTGATTTCAACTTGTTTCATTGTGAATTGGCTTGAATCTTGGTAGAATTGAAGGTTGATAGCAACATTGACCCATAATCCAAGACCTAAGGTAGATCATTGACCTTCCTTATTGTGTATTTGGAACTTATTCTTGCATATTCTTGAGCCTTTAGTGATTTAAGGCATGAATTGGTTCATTAATGTTGAATTGGAACTTATTCCATGCATGCATGTTTGAATTGTTGAATTTGAATTGATTCCATGGAGAATTGTCTCATGCATGCTCATGGCTATGTTAAGTCCATGTTTTCATCTTGTTTTTGGAAAAATTGGCTCCTTAGAGCACCAAATTGAAGCTTTGAAATGGTTTTAATCCATGCATGTTTGCATGTTCTCCATATTCATGAAATTGGTTTGAATTGGATTTAGTTGAAACACCCTTTGGCTTTGATTTTACAATTGAGCTTTAGAATCATGTTAAAGTGTGAGTTTTGATGTGTTTTCTGGAAAATTGGCCCAAGAGGATCGAAATTTATGGTTTAAAACTTGGTTTTGAGCTTGAGGTTCAAATCTGGAATTTTCAGAATTTGGACTCACGCTCGAGCGGGGTGACTGGCGCTCGAGCGTGGAAATCGTGCTCCCAGCATTTTGTTCGGTTTTGAAGTCCGCTCGAGCGGAATAATTGACGCTCGAGCGGGACATTGTGTCTCATGCTTGAGCGGGTGTCGAGGACCCAATCGAGCGTGATTTTCACCTATCCAGCACTTTTGACTGTTTTGCAGAACGCTCGAGCGGGTAAGTCTACGCTCGAGCGGAAACCTTTGTCTGCATGTCCGCTCGAGCGGATTAACCTACGCTTGAGCGTGACCCCTGTTTTTTGAAAAATCTGGAAATGCTTTTTCAAGTGCATCTTTGTATCCTCATCTCATCCTAGGCATTCTTAGGCCTAGTTTAAGACGTCTTAATGTAGAACACACCGAGGCAATTAGGGATTAAGTTATTATCCTTCCCAACTGTGTAGCTTAGTGTGTGTTCAATCTGTAACTGTGTAGGGTTGGCGACTGGGGACGCGCTCTAGCTTACTGTAGCCCAGAACTCTGTGAGTAACAACTGTGTAAAGATATGTTCAAAATGATTATCTTCTGAACAGCTGAACTGTACTGCTTTCTGCACTGATTACTGTTAACTGAATGAATGTATGTCCTATATTCTGAACTGTATTGTGGCATCCTTAGCACCTACTGTTTACTGTTACTGTTAC